ACAGTACCACAGAACTACAGAACCACGGAAGCTACAGAACTGCAGTACCACAGAACTACAGAACCACGGAAGCTACAGAACTGCAGTACCACAGAATTACGGAACCACGGAAGCTACAGAACTACCGAACTGCAGAACTCCAGAAGCTCCAGAACTACGTAAGCTACAGAAGCTACAGAAGCTACTTAGAAGTACCAATCTTGTCAATTAAATGGGAGTATGTCCTGAATCGCACACCTCCGAAAGCTGCTGGGCCCGCTAATCTTTGACGTGTTTCGATCTGATTTCCACCAATCAGAGCGCGCGCTATTACAACAGGCAGTGGTTGCCGCTAGACTTGCCCCTCGTCTTTTTCCTGCGTTAAAACGACCAGCTAAGCAGCTAGTAGCGCACAGTGTAAGCACCGAGATGGGAAGACGCCCCTTCTTTATGTGGGCGTAGTGCATCGCTCTACAGATACCCCCTCATTGATTCAACATCACGATTAATGTTGACATTAGCATGAATATTAATGTCGCGCTTGATGATGGTAATCATGTGACGTAGACCCACTGCCGTCCTGACCTGCCGCGTCCACGCTGGCGGCCAGAATTTTATGGACAACTGAAGGTGAGACGTCCTTCTCTAGCGTGAGAACGGCGGTCGGAGTCTATGTAGATATGGTGGAGGCGTTGATGAGAGTTTCTCGAAGCCCTCGTCGAACAGCCTTCTATTGGTACTAAAGTGTCATCGGCACGCTTTGGGCCATACCGCTGCTGCCACGTGCACGCGACGTGTTCGGCTCGCCAATGCTGAAGGTATGGCACAGATTTGACCCTGGTTGGGTTGTGCGACACCGGTGTTAGAGGTCCCGCTGTATCACGCACGCCCGGCGTGCGCGGCTTGTCATAAGACTCGTAGCAGTCGTCACCTTGAGCGTGTCGTAATTTTTACTCGTGTTCTAGTGACTCAGTTTCTTGGGATATTCGTGGTGCAACTTTCACCTGTTACCTTGACTGACATTTGTCAACTAAAATAACCATGACGTTATGCTACGTTAAGCGACCCGTGTCGCTGGGTTTTTATACTAGGTTAATTAATTCGATATCTACGTCACTACAATCATTTAGCAATCATCAGAGCTTTACGTGTGCTACCTACAACAGCAATCATTTCAAACGCCATGACACGTTCACCTTTTGACTAATCACCTCCAACTATTGCGCGCATATGAAATTTTCCAATGTCACATCTCCAGTGGAATGTGACCCTGATGAGGAAGAAGAGAGAAGAGTGAAATGGCAAGGAGACGAGCACAGGCGTCAGTGACCACACACGTCATATAGAACCCCCCACGAACAAATACCCTCCTGTTGGTAAACTATGGCTAACCCTGCTGCCAATTAAGGGGGAATTCTCTCACCCGCGTTGCAAATAAGGAAATTATATATACCGGAGCCACAGGCTCAAACTGCAAACTAACCATCAAAATTCACTAAACAGCTACTTAGCCAGCGTGGCCACACATCTACCGCGTCCACAGACCATCAAA